CGCAAACCTGACTTAAATTCGATTAAATATTAATATAAATTATGAAACATTGTGGAGCCACCAATTTGCGGCTCCACTTGTACAAAGGGCTTCACTTTGTTTGTGTATGTCTGGTCTACAGGCTCCACTTCTACGTCTACACCAACACACACACACGCACACGCACGCACACGCGCACACGCGCACACACACACACACACACACACACACAATGCAAAATTGTTGAAATCAAAAAAGTAAAAGTCAGCTTACTCTGTTATAGAAACCGTATGTTATTGCATTTGGTTGAATTCCACTTTTTTTCATTTCAAACAGCACTTTGACAGCTAAGACTGGCAGGCCATACTGTCCACAGAGTTGCATTAGTACTCTGTAACATATCTGTGAAGACAAGCAGATCAACACTAAATGTTGCAGCAAGAATGTTGAGTGCAACTTTATTTGTTGGCAATAGGTACAAGTACAAGTTTATTTCCTACTGAATCAACAAAAAACTATTACCGCTGTCAAACAGTTTTTTTTTTGTGGAAATTCTGGAGTACATCCATACATGTGAAAATAAATTCTGAATTTTGATAGGGGAAAAAAATTGTTGAAATGACAACCTACCTCATCAGGGGGCTCTAATTTACATGTACCCATTTTCACCAGTGCTTCAAATGCAGTTCGAAGAGCTTTAGTTTTAGAATGGGTTGACTTGACATAGGCTGGCAGATGTATAAACCAGGCGCTGAAACATAGCCCCAGTAAACACCTGAAATAAATAAAAACAAATGTACTGAAGTTTTTTTTTTAAGATAGCAATATGGATTATTTAAACAGTCCCTTCTAAAGACTGGTCTCTAAACAGCATTTGTTTGAGGTATGAATTACTTTCATAATATCAAATACAATGTTCAGTACGGGTACCACAGCAATTGTTTGAGGTGTAAATTACTTAAATAACATCACATACAACACTCAACATGGGTATCTTAAAGTTTGTTACAGTTGTGCCACAGAGATGCAATTTGAACAAACAAATTTGTTCTTTTTCCTGATCTATAGTAACAGTAAAATCCTTGAATATATGTTTTGTTATATCATTATAAAATCTCCATCATGAAACAATTGCTTTCTGCATACAGCTATACGTTATGACATTTTAATAAATGCATGATTGTTTTCTTGACTGACTAAATTTCAAAACAGTGGTGAATAATTTATTTATCATACCAATCACTGTCAGTCTATAGATGGACTGTGATTGGATGACAGCATGACCTGTTTATTCTTCCATGATATCAACATCAACCAGGTCAGATCCTGGAGTTAACAACTGACTGTACACTCTAAATTTGATGAATTGTTTAAACACCAGGACTTGGAAATAGCAGTCATCAAAAGGTTATCCATGCATAAAAACCAATGTAATTAATTTGACTTACTTTGCCCACAGTTTGGGATTCTTTGCATTTTCTTTAGCACTAATCTGAGATAACTTGGCTTCTTGTTTGGTTCTTCTTGCCACGGGACTACTAGGAACAGTGCTTTTAAGTGACTTACTAATGGCCAAGGTATGCATGTTTGCCGGTGAAAACAACTCCTTTTTCAGTACTGGAAAATGCGTATAGCTAAATAAAAACAGTAATATAGACATTAGATTCAATTGCTCTGGTATGAAGTGAAAGCATTGATGTTTTTTTTTTTTAAAATTCAAATGATGGTTTGAAAACAACCCAACCAATCACAATGCACTATAAATTAGTAGTGGCAGTAAATTAGCCAATAAATGAAAGAAACCTGCAAAGACTCATGGGTAATGGGCATTAGATAATGAAAGCATATTCTTTAGATTGAAATGAAGCACAAGAATCGTCCAAGATAAATGTTTTTTAAATATTTGCATAAAAAACATTCCCGTTTTCATAAAATTTACTGTAACAGTTATATTCTGGAGCTTTAGAATATTTCACTTCCAGAGTTTACTCTTCAGAAGAAAGTTTGTTTCTGAAGCATACCCACAGACAATTAACTGACGATTTAAAATTAAAGAGAATTCAATGGCTCATGGAATGAAGCAGGAAGGTAGCAAAGCATGCTACTAACTCTGGGAGCATTTCAAAACACAAGGTCCAAGTGGACAGAGTACAGGCGGATTACTTGTACTGTGTCACCACAGAGTTTATCTTGTGTCCATCTTGTATATGACCTGATGCATGCTTTACTCAGTTTGTAAAGCATTAAGCTATCAAGAGACGCTGTAACACAATGCAAAGTCACCATGCAGTCAGTGACAAAGCTCAAAGTCATAGGATACGAAACATATACATGTACAGCAGTCTTTATAAAGTGTTAATACCCTTAACGTTAACTTTTAAGAAAACTTTTGAACTAATGATAGCACACTTAAAGAAATATATATGGTTTGATAGGAAGTGGCTGATAAAGCTGAAATGATTTGTGAGACTGTACTTTCCATCAACCCTGAGAGATAATATCTTTTTTTTTTTACGAAATCCATTTACACTGCATTCTCTGAGAATGCAAAGCTGTTTATTAAAAGATCAATTTCTCACAGAGTGGTTTGATTGTACTGTTCAACAAACATAACCTAATTCCTGACATAGATAGCCTACTGCTGAGCACCTGGGGAATCGGTATTTAGAGGTTCTTGTGAGAAAACATTTATTATTTCAACCAATCTATTTAAACTTTGTGACACTACATGAGCCTGATGTCGATACGGAGATTCCACACAGGGAGACTGAGGCATTCCTACAACACAAATCAACTAGATTTCTTGGCACCATGCCTGTAATGATGACAGAAGGGGAAAATGCATTATAATGATGCAATATATTGTAACAGTGATTTGTGCTAATTGATGACTCAGTTAAAGGGGAGTGAATTACAAAACACAGATGGAGAAAGAAGCAAATGATGTTTGCATGTCCTTTTAACTTTTGATTGAATGTGAAGGAATGCTGGCCAATGTGTTTATAATTTACCATTCTGTGCACACTTAACACCAGTGTGGCAAATTGTGCAGCTCCAGCGTGTCTTGGGAGTACGTCTAACTAACTAAATGACCCGATACCGTCTGGGTGATTGGAATATCAAAATACTTCAGAAATCACACTAGTGTTAAATATCTAAGTGTCTTTTTGACACTAGCTAGGAATACTGATTCTACCAATATACTTGCTCGGAATACTGATTCTACCAATATACTGAGAAACAAATACTCATTTTACCAATATACTTGCTCAGATTACTGATTCTACCAATATACCGGGAACAAATACTGATTTCACCAATCTACTAGCTATGAATACTGATTCTACCAATATACTGGGTACGAATACTGATTCTACCAATATAATGGGTATGAATACTGATTCAACCAATATACTGGGTACGAATCCTGATTCTACCAATATACTGGGTACCAATACTGATTCTACCAATATACTGGGTACGAATCCTGATTCTACCAATATACTGGGTATGAATACTGATTCTACCAATATACTTGCTCGGAATAGTGATTCTACCAATATACTTGCTCGGAATACTGATTCTACCAATATACTTGCTCGGAATACTGATTCTACCAATATACTTGCTCGGAATACTGATTCTACCAATATACTGGGAACAAATACTCATTTTACCAATATATTTGCTCGGAATACTGATTCTACCAATATACCGGGAACAAATACTGATTTCATCAATCTACTAGCTATGAATACTGATTCTACCAATATACTGGGTACGCATACTGATTCTACCAATATACTGGGTACGAATCCTGATTCTACCAATATACTGGGTACCAATACTGATTCTACCAATATACTGGGTACGAATCCTGATTCTACTAATATACTGGGTATGAATACTGATTCTACCAATATACTGGGTATGAATTCTGATTCTACCAATATACTGGGTATGAATTCTGATTCTACCAATATACATGTACTGGGTATGAATTCTGATTCTACCAATATACTGGGTACGAATACTGATTCTACCAATATACTGGGTACCAATACTGATTCTACCAATATACTGGGTACCAATACTGATTCTACCAGTATACTTGCTCGGAATACTGATTCTACCAATATACTGGGTATGAATTCTGATTCTACCAATATACTGGGTACGAATCATGATTCTACCAATATACTGGGTTTGAATTCTGATTCTACCAATATACTGGGTATGAATACTGATTCTACCAATATACTGGGTATGAATACTGATTCTACCAATATACTGGGTATGAATTCTGATTCTACCAATATACTGGGTACGAATCATGATTCTACCAATATACTGGGTATGAATTCTGATTCTACCAATATACTGGGTATAAATTCTGATTCTACCAATATACTGGGTATGAATTCTGATTCTACCAATATACTGGGTACGAATCATGATTCTACCAATATACTGGGTACGAATCATGATTCTACCAATATACTGGGTATGAATACTGATTCTACCAATATACTGGGTATGAATTCTGATTCTACCAATATACTGGGTATGAATCCTGATTCTACCAATATACTGGGTACCAATACTGATTCTACCAATATACTGGGTACGAATACTGATTCTACCAATATACTGGGTATTAATCCTGATTCTACAATATACTGGGTACCAATACTGATTCTACCAATATACTGGGTACGAATCATGATTCTACCAATATACTGGGTATGAATTCTGATTCTACCAATATACTGGGTATGAATCCTGATTCTACAATATACTGGGTACCAATACTGATTCTACCAATATACTGGGTACGAATCATGATTCTACCAATATACTGGGTATGAATTCTGATTCTACCAATATACTGGGTATGAATCCTGATTCTACCAATATACTGGGTATGAATTCTGATTCTACCAATATACTGGGTA